ATTACGGGATAACAGCAACCGAATAGATGCACTTGAAAATACAAATACACTTACCGTTCATGAAAGTATAGTCTATATCAGGAAAAGCCTCTATCCTTTCTCCTGGCGGTAACCTTCCCATGTAACGTAGTATATTCGTCACTTGAGTCTTGGCCAGCATACTCTGTGGGGCACAGATGAGTTGGTCAGAGGAAGCGAACGCTGGGAGCAATGGGGGATAGTCCTTGTCAGGCATCCGTTCAGCTGTACTGGCTACACTCATGGATATGATACACACATACATACACACACGTACACAACGCACATAACGCACATAAAGCACGCACACACACACACACACACACATATATATATATTTATATCAAATATTCGTACACACACACACACACATACACACACACACATATATATATTTATATCAATATATTCGTACACACACACACACACACACACACACATATATATATATATATAATTAGTAGTTCTTATCATATAAACTACAACAAAATACCTACCTGTATAACATTAGTTCTATCTAAGCAGTCTATACAATTAGTTCGTATCACACCCGTCTGGCGGCGCACCGTGTTGCCATACGAATCCAGAAAGAAGAATCTGAGGTACATCAGAAATCGGGGACAGAGAACCAAAATGTTTCAGAATCGGATTGATTTATGAATTAGAACTAAAAACCGCTATTTACAGCGAATGGTCAGGTCGAGTGGAGTAGTGTACTGCAAGAAGTGGGTGCGCATTGCTGGGCCTGATCAAAACAGCACAGTGGAGCAAGACACTATCAAAACGTACATACAAAACATATACTCACATAACCAACCTATACACTTACTTCCTGTATCTTTACCCGTGCCGCGAGGAGATACAGTCAAGATACACTCCACTTTACGAGCACACCTCTCACTGACACAGCCGCAGCCACACAGACATCCCTCATAAGAGACACAACCCATTCTCATCCATCGCTTATGACATGCATTAGCATTCCCTCTTGTAAACCCAAAAAGGAAAAAAGGTGCCAAGCTGACCTACCCGTCATTTTCCAGGTCGGGCATGAGATCGGACTGGAGCATGCTCAATTTGCCCCATTGCATCCCCTTGCACTCCTTATGGAAATCAAACCCAATATACCGCACAAATTCGTTCTTGTACGCCTTCACGAGTGACCTGAACTTGTTTCCGAGGGCCAATTCGGCCCCATTTTGGTCTATAAGGTCAACCAGGACCACTTTGCCATAGGTTTGCAACAGCTTATCCATATGCTTGACAAACGAGGTTTCGTTCTTCATATCTTGCACCGGGAAAGTGATCGATGGCTTATACCGAATATCAACCTGACCACAGCCACAAGACAGGGGGGAGGGGGATTAACAAATGTGCCAAAGTGGGGGGGGGGGCGGGGGCGGGTTAGCAGATGTGCCAAGCGGACATGTGAGTTTACACGAATAGGGGAAGGTTTCTCGTGCAGTGGTGAGGAAAGACTGAGGGACTAGGGTTTAGGGTTTTTGGGTTTGTAACCTAGAACTTCAAGGGTGATATCCATGAAACGCCAGTATGGGAATCGCGCTGCCTATATGACGGAGAAATAGTTTTGATCTTATTTACTTAAAGCAGAGAATTCGAATACAAAAGCAGGTGCAAACACTTGCGCATATATATCATGTACAAATACAATTGATACAGGTTGTGTAGACATTCGTGATTTACAATATTTCACAATAATAAATAAACAGTTGTAGGTACGTCGTGCTCGTTCATCTGCATCGACATTTGCCAAACACGTACCACTGCCAGACTAAAGGTATTTCTACGGTGGTTTACAACATCCAATACACACGTGTAGGTGAATAGTGCTTTCATATGTATTCATACCACCGCACACACCTGTTGTTGCCAGAACAGAGGGATGGATCCTCGCACTTGCACATATGATCCTGTGAGACCATGACTCTGTACTATTTGTTCCACTTCACAAAAGTTAGCCACGTCGCCGTCTGAATTGATACCTCGACAGTTATATCTGCGTCCGTGTGCGGGGGGACGGCATGCAATATCATTGTATGAGTGGCAAGGCGGACCAGTAAAATCTAAGTGATTGGGATATATATATATATATATATATGTATAATATATATATACATATATAGGGAGATGGAGAGAGACAAAGAGAGAGAGAGAGAGAGAGAGAGAGTCAGAGAAAGGGAGAAGGAGAGCAGCTCATGATAAGCCGAGCCGCAAAAGATTGGCTAAGGCCTGGTGTAGGTCACTGCTAAAAAACCTACACCTACACGACTGTCTGTCAGTGTCACAGAAGACTCATAGCCAAAATGCTCTACGATTCTCTACGGAGCGATGTGTAAACCAATCTCATGCACAGGCCGAGCTCTCAATAACAGCCATGGCTATACCATAAACATACGTCTCCCACAAGCACACGCATACGCATTGGTCTGACAGTTGTGCGAGGTTGCCATAGCAACCCTGCCAGACGACCACCGCCGACATAGACTTAAAGGCGCGTACCTGATGGCCTGTCTTGCAGCAAGGCACACCACCTGGTACGAATAGACACGAACTAACACACCTTCTTCTTAATTACAGAAGAATACTACCAACGTCTACAAACACGCAAAAACATACTCATTCTGTTTTCACACACACACACATACTCATTCTGTTTTCACACACACACATACTCATTCTGTTTTCACACACACA